CCGCGGGCTTCGGGCCGGGGCGGGGACGCGCCCGCGGGGAGCTCCGACGCGCGGACTGCAGCGGGGCCTCCGGGGCTCCCGGGCTCCGAGGCTCCTGCCGAGGCCCGGCCGGAGCGGGCGCAGAGGGCTCCGGAGGACTCCCGGGGCCTCGCAAACTTTTCCGCCTTGGGCTCGCGACTCGGGACTGAGAGTCACCCAGTTCGCCCAGGTACTGAAAAAAACCACAACCAGGAGAAATCTCTGCCCAGGCTGGGCTGGCCGGATTTTCCAAGTGATCATTTAGTGTTGGATGAAAAATTTAGACAGTCTACAGCACTTGTGAAATGCAGGCATCTGTGGAAAGATGCACTTTTATCTCCCAGGGAGGTAGAAAGAGGCTTACCATATCTTTTAAAGGCAGGATTTTCTTTGTTTATCGCTGAGTTTGCTTTTCATTGTATGTTAGATTAAGAAGGCTCTAACTTCTTAAGCATTTTAGGAGTACTATTTCTAAGAATGGCATAAACGGGGTCTGATGTTTATTGCACAACATGACGTTGTTTCAGATAGCTTTATCCACGGACGAGGTGAGCAATCATTTGATAAAACCTGGTAGAAAGTGCATCACCACAAAGGGTAAGTCACTCTCCATGTGTCCCATGTGTGGAGGAAACCATCTTCCTACATCTTGGTCTCTGTCACCACCTCTGTTCCTGTATTCCAGCTTCTAGTCACAGTGTGGTCATCTGATTTCAGCTGTAAATAAAAAATGCTGATGAAAAGTCCTTGTATTGTGCATTACATAGCCAGAATTTTAGTGACACAATTGATTGCATCATCTAGATCGGTTTGAACGGTAAAATTAAATTGTGAGCGCTTAAAAGTGTCATGAAGTAAATTCTCAGGCATATGTTTTACATATAATTTTGTGTGGAAAAGATGTGCTACTCACGGAGTAGTGAAGGAACCTTTTATTTGCACTGGGGAAGTTTTGAAAGAACGTTCAAGAGTAACAATTCATTATAAAATTTTGTTCAAACATACTAAGTATAATTTTGACACTTTGCTGTTAAATATACTAGAACTTAATTTTCAAATAGTATTTTAATCATTTGCTGATCATTTTCAGTGAACATTTTTAGAGAAAAGTTTGCCCAGATGTCACATTCTTAAAACCCTAACTGTGGTTACCATTGTCCCCTAAGTTTGCTGGACTCCTGCCAAGATGGTAAGGATTCTAAAAATGGGTGGAACCTAGTTCTTCAAGTTGTATTGACTGGTGTGAATACTTTGAGATTTGTACAGGTATATTTGATTTAGGACATTAATTTTATGAGTGATTCTTTTTGAAACTGTATACACACATGAATACATATGGCTTTTGTAGCTCTTATATCACACCTATAATCTATCATCTATCATCTATATAGTCTATCTTTCTACCTATCAATCTGTGTTATCTGTATCTATTTCCTGTCATAGGGGAAACCATTCAGGTAAATGCTGCTACACGTCCGTGCATTAAGAACAATTGATCTTAAAGATTAGAAGCTAAAAATAGTTCTTGTTAGGGTTTGTTATCCTTGAGAAGTTTACTTAAATACTGTTTCCTAACATATAGGTGAACTCTTTTTGCAAAAGGCCCAGGTTCAGTTCCCAGCACCCACGTGACAGCTAGTATCAGTCTATAGCTTCAGTTCCAGGGGATCCGGTGCCCTATTCTGACCTCCTTGGGCACTGCACAACACGGGTGCACTCACATACATGCAGGCAATACACTCGTACACATAAAATAAAAATAATAAAAATATTTTATTTATTATTCTTATTTTATGTGTATGGGTGTAATGCTTGCATGTATGCGAGTGTACCCGTGTTGCATAGTGCCTGGGGAGGACAGAAGAGGGCGTTGGATCCCCTGGAACTGGAGTTACGGATGGTTGCTAGCGGCCATGTGGGTGCTGGGAACTGAATCCACTCCGGGTCTTCTGTAAGAGCAGCCAGTGCTCTTAACTGCTGAGCCATCTCTCCAGCCCCTATACTTGAAGTCTTTAAAATAAAGCTTGAATCAGGGTGCCATATACTAATGATCTTAAGTACATATTTATCTATTAAAATGGACTGAATTACTTTACCTCTGGTTGACTACATCTGGCATTTTTGAGCTTCAATAATTTATCTTTAATACAGTAATCTCCAGATAAAACTTAGTTTGTCAAAATAGTATTTTGGTTTTCAGCACTTCAGTCCATTTTTCACAAGTTTGGGACTTTGAGAGCTGACCTCACTGACATGAGAGGTAAACCTCATGGAAGTTCTGAGCTCCCCTTTGTGAAAAATACCTTTAAGTGTTGGCAGTCTTTGTTTGATTGAGAGGGGCCTGTTGAAGTGATAGTACCCACAATTCAGTGCTGTGCTGTAGCCACTGTAAGGATAACAAGCTCTCTGACCTTTGGAATATTTCTTAATCACTTTCCCTAGGTGTTGCTGCTGCTTTCCAGCGTATGCATGAACATTAGAAATGGAGTAGTAACCTGTCAGACTGATTTTTTTGCTTTAATTTGTTAGCTATTACAGAAATATTTACATTTTCTTTTGCTCCAAATACCCTTTACATTGTTGCAAGTGGCATTACTGCTTACCCCCACTCCTCCTCTCCCTCCCCCTGCTTTTTACATCTAGAATTAGGGTCAGTTTTTCCTGTACACATTAAGAAGTTCCATAGAATTTACATTATGTCTTTTTAGCTTTAAAAATAATCACATTTGGCTGTGTGTGCTGGCGTACGCCTTTAATCCCAGCACTCAGGAGTTCAAGGCCAGCCTGGTCTACATAGTAAGTTCCAGGCCAGCTGGGGCTACAGGGAGACCATGTCTCAAAAAGTTAAAAAAAAAATCGCCTTTGAAATGTTTGACTAGGAAAGTCAAACTGACTTTTAAAAGCTAATGGAATCTTGGTCAATTATGATTTTAGTTTCATGGGAATTTTCCCTCTAAGGTCAGATGTGCCCTTACTTTGAACTCAGTGATACACAAAATCTGTACTTTTGCAACCACAAAACATGGAGAGCATTCCACGTAATTTGCAGTGTGGGCACCCAGCATGCTTTAGTATTTAGCTGGATTGAGGCAGTGTGCCATGCTTACAAAAATTGTTTCACAAACTGACAGCAAGCTGCTTCCGTCTTTGAACTTGTCTGTCAGACACAGGATAAAATGTCTTTTTACCTCTACTCCATGAAGTTGGTAAATGCTGTTTGCTTCCACTTCTGTTTGTATGGTGGAAGATTTAGAAAAGTAAAGAATGAACGTCAAGTACACTGGAAAACTTCATTTGTGTTGACTGTGAAGGTAACAAGGACGTAGGTTGGACTGTACCATAGTTCTCAGGTTTTGGGGAAAAAGTGAATATTTACAGTTAAGAGGGTATACTAGTGGAGATAATAGCATTATCAGTATCAGCATCTCCTTTGATAGATAATGCTAAAGAAATTATATCCTTCGAGGTCCAACTGAGATTAAAAAGCTCCCTAGCCAGATCCTGTATCAATCACCTGGCTTATTTGTTGATTGATTCTTAGAAAATTTTTAGTTGAAACTCTTATTATCATTTTAGTTGTGTGTTTGCATACTTTTTATGGTTTTAAAAATATTTCATTTTATTTTTTTGAGAATTTTGTTCATACTTGAGTATTGTATTTGCATTATTTCTATCCCTCCCAGCCCCCTTCAAATTCCTCCTGTCCCCCCTACTCCCTCTCAATTTCTTGTCCTCTTTATTAGTTGTATATACATACATTTATACATATATTATGAACATGCAATATACATAATACACACATACACACACACACACACACATATATATATAGAGAGAGAGAGAGAGGGAGAACTAGGTCCATTTACTGGTACTTATGTGTACCTGTGTTTAGGGTGCCCATTTGGGATTAGATAAACTCTCAGGAAGCTAATCCTGGAGGAGATGATTGTCCCTCCCTCAGCATCTGTTGATTGCATATAGCTCTGCCAGTTAAATTTCCCCCATTCACCTTGGCTTGTCAATTGGTTTTGTCATTATGCATATCTTGTTAGACTACCATACAGTGGAGATTTCATTCGTATAGTTTCCTATTTAGTATTTTCTGACCAAAACTCATAGTTAATTCTTTTTTTTTTTTTTTTTTTCGGTTTTTTTGAGACAGGGTCTCCCTGTAGCCCCAGCTGTCCTGGAACTCACTATGTAGACCAGTCTGGCCTTGAACTCTGGCCTTTGCCTCCCAAGTGCTGGGATTAAAGGCGTGCGCCACCACGCCCGGCTCATAGTTAACTCTTTTATCTTGATTCACTTAGCTCCATCTTTATCATTAAAGCACTAGAAAAGATCTACCTTGGAGAGCTTGGTCCCAAAGACATCATTCTCTTTTGTAGTGGTTACCTTCCAGAAGCATCACCTTATCCTATTTTCTTAAAAACAAAAAATGTCTCGGAGATTTTAGAGAAAGAGCATTAAAGAGATTTTAAAATACCTGAAGTTTAGATCACAATAAGGGTTTTAACTGAAACCTTACCAAAGAATTGGTTAGCATGTATGGCAGACACTTGGCTCTGCACCTCTGCTGAAGGTATCTGCTCAAGTCTTTTGCTCTGTGTTGTGTGTTGGTCCTGGAAGGATGTAGATACGAAAGTCATCCAGATAGAAAAGGACATGACAGTCATTGCCTCCTAAAGGGAAATGCTTGCTGGAGTGTGTGTACCTGTAATGCAGTCCTTTCTTACCATCCTTTTAGCTTCTTGTTTCCATTTCATTCAGGTTGTATGGGACAGTCTGTTCCATTTGATTAGCCCTACATACCTTCTGAAATGTCACATACCGTCGGATGTTTCAGTGTCCAGCACTAGCAGGACATCCATTCTTGAATTTTCTTAGCTATTCCCCCTCAGCACTTCAAGTGCTCACCTTCATCTTCTATGCAGTGTCCAATTCTTTAGTGATGTGAGTTTTTGTTTTTTTTTTAGTTTTTAAAAATATTTTATTATTTTCATTTTGTGTATGAGTGTATTGCCTGCATGTATGTAAGTACACCTGTGTCATGCAGTACCCCTGGAGGTCAGAGGAAGGTGTCAGATTCCTCTGGAACTGGAGTTAGCTGCCATATGGGCAGAACACTATAGAGGAACATGTGATGATGTAGTCAAAGTGCTCAAAGACCAGGTATGGTGGTACATACCT